ATGAGTAAAAGTTGATTCTTGACTCTAATGGACATCTTTAATATACTTTGTTCAGTATGAGTAACTGACCGTGGAAATTCAATAATAAGAAGGGGTGATTCACAGTGATGGAGATGACAAAGTGAGTAGTTAACCATGGGAATAGTGAGCCAAGTGTTTCCTATGGTCCTGAGGGCTCAGCTTGGCTTTCTATGACCGGTTTGATTGATGTGTGTTTCATTGTACTGAAGCAACTCCAGCTGGAACAGGTAAAGAAGTAGTGACAGAAAAAATTGGAAGATTGTTTTTGTTTTTCAAATGTACCACAGTTGCATAACACCTCATGCCAGTTATTTGGACAGCTATTGAATGAATCCAATTAAACAAAACAACAAACAAACAAAATTGACTTTAAGACAGAAAAATAATTGATGATGTAAGAATGGATAAAATTTATTTATATAGCAATCTGGTTGCAAAGTGTTCCAGAGACTTACACAGAGCCCCAAAGACAGCAATATCTGTTGGATATAACACCAGAAGAGTTTTAATTGCATACTATGTTCACATGGACCTCACAAAAATGTTTCAGCATGTCCCATATTCATGAAATGTTCACACATTTGTTTTTAAGAAAATGATGTAACATCTTTTTTCTTTGGCATGGTGTGGAGGAGAGTGCCTGAAAAGACAAAAGACAGTGAGGACATGACCTCGGATAGTGGTTGCTATTTGAACCCGCAATATCAAAGTGGATGAAATGTTTCTGATCCACTTCTCATACATAAGTTCTCAAACAACTAACATGTGTTGTTTTTCCCATGTAACGGTAAAGTCTCACAACAATCAGACAATAAAAGAAAAGCAGGAATAAAAATATAGCTGGTCTTTTATCCATTACGTCCCCTGTTGTGATATAGTCAATGCTGGGTTTCTTATTCAAAAAGATACTGTATCACATGTCACTTGTTACATTTCTTAAAAGTGATGCAGTGCATTATTTATTTATGTTACTTGTTGAAGAAAGTAATTTGTTACATTACTCATTACTTTCTCGTTCCTCCGTAAAATCATCTCAAATGCATTGTTACACAATTACTAGTTAACAATGAAAACCTTAGGCTACTGTTGCACACAGACACAAATCCCTATCTGGATAAGGACATGCATACAATCTTTCTTTTAGTGTTTATTTAGGAACACAAAGCCGACAACACAAAGCAAAGTTGAAAGCCAGCCCAAAGAGACTTTAAAGTGATCAGCGCAGTGTTTCTACTTTAGAAACGTGAAACAAAAGTAAACAATGTGAAGCGTAATGTGTAATGTGATGACAATAATGTATTGCTTTGTAACATGTTACATCCAGCATCCATCTTTTTTAATTGTTTAATACTGTGCACAATTTAAAAGATGTATATTATCACACCTTTTGAGAATCATTTTGTCTAATGTACATAAAAATAGGCCTTCTAAAGATTGTCTAATGTATATAAAATCAGACCTTCAAAAGATGGTATTATACATTTTATGTTAATTAGCTGCACAAAAAGATGATCTAACATCTTTGACAAGAAACATCAGGCTTTGGTGTCAGTTCCTCAGTTTAAAGAGGAAGAGCTTCATGCCAGATAACATTTTCCACTGACATTTAATTATCCTTCAGGGAGAAATGCATTTTTAATGAGCTGGAGATAGAAGCTGTCTCTAGACTTTAACCTTAATAGACGAAGAGACAAAACAGCCACAAGGAAATACTGTAATTTATTTTAATTATTGCTGGTTTTGTGCAAAAATGACACCAGGCATTTAGTGATCACATCCTAATCACATGCAACAACAAGAAGATCATGTGGATTAATTGCTAAACTAGTGTTTCCTTATGTGTATTGACCTTATGTGGGTTTCCTGTCCCTTTTTTATTTGTTCCATTTCCACTTTTTTTTTTACTTTAACTTAACTTTAACTAATTCTCAAATCACTTCAAAGAGCGCTCTTATAATATCTTAAAGCTGAGAATATAAAATCACATTAATGAGGACTTTGTCAAACCTTAAGAAGTGAAATGTACCACCTTTATTTACAGCTTATATAAAGTTATCCTTTGTGCATTTTTATCCCCTTCAGACTTAATCCAGTTTTCCTTGTGCCTTGAGAATAGGTATGCCAGAAACCTGTACTCTGTTGTTGCAGCTGCATGTAGAGCACGCTTTAAACTAAATTCAAATTTCCGTGTTTCAAATGTTCCAAAATGCCATTCACTGCCAGTTTTAAATAAGCTATAGAAGTAACGGTATCAACTCCCATTTATATAAGCATTTCACATTTTACTGATGACTCAAAGCACTTTCCATGTGGTGTTTTATTCTATATGCTTTAAGCCTTCATCTACTTCAACTCAATGGACAATTGAGAATCATCAGTGAATTTAACATGCATGTCTTTGGACTGGAGGAGGAAGCTGAAGTACCCAGAGAGAGCCCATGCAAGCACAGGGAAGGATCCATGGAGTATATCACTGTGAGGTGGCGGTCCAATACTGCTGTGAAACTAACCTGGCCAGCATTAAAAAAAAGACAAAAATTATGTTAATGCTGACTATAATTAAAATAAAACTACGCTATTACACATTTTCAAATTGAAATTGAAATTCCCATGCTGCTATAAACACTTTAAAAACACAAATACTTACATTTTGTGACCAGCTGGCATGACCAAAACAAGGACATAACCCCAGCAGTACATGGGAGGTTGGCAAACATCGGTGCCTCCAGTTTTCTTCCTATTATAGAACTAAACAGGTATTTTGCTAGCTGGTGCATTTACCTCTTGGAACAAACATTCACACCCACACATGTATGCACATATAATATGGTGTGACTGTGTGGCAGGCCAAACATTGTTTCTCCTTACATTGTCCCTAATTCACATCCAAAGCTGCTCAGTGTTACTAACTGGAGATTATTCATGAAATAATGGATTGTTCTCTTTGTCTGGATTATGGTTATGTTAATCTGACTTTCCTGACTGAGACTGAAATATGTGACTCTTGTTGGTGGGTTAAATCACTTTGGAGCTTTTCTGATGCTACATTGACCATCTTTTTTTCTCTCTTTAGTCTAATTGCTCATAATGTATTATGCAGTCTTTGACATACAGGTGGACTGCGTGCAAAACATAAACCCAGTGCAAATGATGCCAGGTAAAACATCCAGAAGGTCATGATGTACAGCAGACAGATGTGCAAATTAATACACCATTACTGGATTTTACAAACATTGCTTAGATGGGACAAAGGGTTTTAAAAAATGGATTTTCCATCAGCTTTTGTGTAATTTGGCATACTGTGTGGTCTAATTCTGTTATCTAATTCTGAAAAAATGCATTATGCTGTAACTAAAAGCTTAGATGATGACGCAATTTCCCTGTTTGCTAGCCTTGAAAGTAGCAACACAGTTTTTCGGTAATATTCGGTAGGTGTGGTTGTTTCCAAGGTTATTTAAGAACTTGCCAGAATTGCTCTGGTAACTAAGATCATCCTATTAGCTTTCTGTTCATGTAATTCCAGATTAACTCAGGTCAGTTACCTACTGTAAGATATTAAGGATTTGAATACAAATCGAAAGAGCTGCATGAAAAAAAAGTGTCTAAACTAAAAGTATGAAAGTAATATCTTCTTTCTTTCTTTCTTTCTTTCTTTCTTTCTTTCTTTCTTTCTTTCTTTCTTTCTTTCTTTCTTTCTTTCTTTCTTTCTTTCTTTCTTTCTT